TAACCCCAAGGCCCTCAATTTATTTGGATTATCAGGATGACATAATTCAAGAATCATCTTAGTCACTGTGTTCAACCTTTCTAAGGATGTTAGGGTTTTCTGGAGGTAGGGTTTCCATGCCTGTACCGTGTACAGTAATCCAGACTGGGACGTACGTGATATTTGTACAATTGAAGGGTCATTTTCATGTCTTTGTTTTTGAAGGTATGCTTTATAATTCACAATTCTTGGTTGGCTTTTGTCACTGTTGCCCCCACTTAGAGCACTGCCTTCAGTGATTGATCTATCACAATACCAAGATCTTTCACTTTATTGAAAGTATCCAGGAAAGTGTTATTGACAGAATAGTGGGGATTTGGGTTGTTGTATCCTACATACAGTCTTACATTTTGCATTGTTAAAAATCTTTTACCAGTCTCAAGACCATTTGAACAGCTTTTGAGGATCTTTTTGCATGGCTGCAAATCGTCATGACTGTCACCTTCCCAAATATTTCTGTCATCTGCAAACTTGACAATATGGCTCTTTATATTTTCATCTATATCATTTATGTCCAGTAAAACCTCTCTAAGGCAGACTAATTGAGGAAGAGATAAGAGGTTGTCCACCTTAGAGTCAATTTTTCCCAAAAGACGCCATTTTAAACAAAAAACGAGTACGACACCAACGTCTCCAATTTTTATGAAAGAAATACTATACATGTTTTCTAATCAAAATTGATTTTAAAAAGTAATGTACACAAAGTACTGTGCACTTACTTTTAGTTCACTGATACAGCCATCGGCTTAACCTCACCACCCTTATGGATACTAAACACTTTCTTAAGAGGCTGTGTTTATTGTTTCATTTTTCAATAATACAGTAATGCAAAAGATATGACCGGTGCTTCAGTCTACGGCGAATATGTATAAAAACTTTAATGATATAAAAAATACAGTACTGTATTTTCGGAAATAAATTTTGTATATTCGTCCTGTAGCCATAGTTTTCTTATATATACTGTACCAGGAAATGTGAGGAATAATACCAACAAAACTTACTGTATTGTATTGTCAAAAAAAAGTAAATAAAAGCCAAATGAATGTTTAAAACACAGTCTCCATTTGCAGACACTCCCTGTTTCACCATAGTAACGAAGATGAGCTGGGACGCTGATTCCCTAGCAACGCGTCCCCCAACACACACACATACACACTGACCGTTTTCCCCTCACTCAGTCAGCTAACTCGTATAGAAAGAACTGTCAATTCCATTTATGTGTTTGCCCTTAGGACAATTATTTCTTTTACTTTTTTCACATTATGTATGTAGGATGGTGTGTGCGTGTGTAGTAGAGTAAAAATATATGAGGAAACTTACTTATATCTACCCGAAAATACAAGTTGAAAAACAACCATGCAACACGTCACAGCTTGGTCCAGTAGCCTGGTGGTTACAGTGATGAGTCTAACCTGGCTACAATACCAGGTTACAGATGACACTAACTAGTCACTCACTCGCTCCCTGGCTCCTGTTGCCAGGCTTATTATTGAAATACAGTACGTATAGGAGAAATACATACAGTATCTTGTCGTATAATTAGAAAACAGTGATGGGCACAGTGATAAACAAATTACCGTATATAAACCATATATTTACCTATGATAACATAATAAGAAACATTATATCATTACTAGAGTGATTGAAATAATATTCCCCAAAACAACAGTTGATAACTCTTAGGCACCTATGTCCCTCTTGCTGATGTCTTGTTTATTTTAATTTTTTAATTCTTTTGGGGCAAATAATTTTGTCCAGTTTAAGCGATATCCGCCTCAGTTGGGTCCACCTTAACGAGGTTTTACTGTATATCTCAAACAGGATGGATTCAAGGGTAGATCCTTGTGCTACACCACTGAGAACCTTCTTCCATTCTGATTGTACACCATTTATGACCACCCTTTGTGTCCTGTGTTTGAATCAGTTGTTAATCCACTTCAAAATTTTGTTTATGATGCCATGTGGTTGGATTTTAGAGACTACCTGTGAATGTGGGACTTTGTCAAGTGCCCTAGAAAAATTCACGTACACTAGCGGTCAAAAGTTTGCTCGATCCCAAATGAGATAAAATAGCACACCCACATCAGACGATAGTCAGGGTAAGTCAGTTCAGAGACTCTGTTTCACCATGGGAGCAAAATTATGACCTCAACTGTACAACACATGCACTGGTAAGCCTTGATCCATGTAGTCTGTTACCATTTCAAGGAAAATGAGTAAATGTGTTAAACAGGATATTCTCTCCATGAAATTGTGTGATGCATTGATCAGTCAGGTGTTGGAAGAAGGCATCCCTCAGAGTTTACAGACACAATGCATATAGTGAGTGGACATAAAGAAAGGGTCAGGTGTGTGTAGTGGTTGTGGGCCAGAGTTAGTTTTTCCCCAACGTGGACCTTGTGACTCAACCTCAGTTGTCAAGAGTACAGTATGGTATATACTGAATGTTTTTGTTTTTTTCTCTGGTGGGTCCTGTCATGTGTTGTGTGAGGAATTAGGAGGAGGTCAAGGAATTCTCCTCCAGCTTGTGTGGTAAAAGTCACCCAATCTACTGTCTCGTAATGAGAACTTGTCTTCTGGATGACTCTATGGAGTCTGGCACTTCTCCCTGTGAGGCTGAGTCATCCTTATAACACACACCTACTCTCACCTTGCTTTTGTTTTATGCTATGAGTTCACATCAAATAGATTCAGACAATATAATTTCATTTAGCTCATCATTACTGGTTACTGTCAGGTGCTCCGTAACATACAGTACAGTAGTACACCACCACCTCTTGTAGCCCTGTCCGTTCTGAGTGGTGGTTGATACCTGGTAGACAAAATTCACTGTGGAACACATCTTCTTAACCCCAGGACTCTGATGTCTGGCTGTTGTGTGTCCACCTGTGCAGCACTCAATAGTTCAGTCTTATTAACTAGACTTGTGTCATTCCTGTACCAACACCAGTTTCTCCCTGGGTTACTAGTACAATAATACTTAAAGCTACGTTAGTGATGATCAACTCTTGTACAAAGTCCACCACATTTCTCACTGTCTCTTCTCCCCAGGTTCTTTGTTTATTTGTAATTGTTCTCTCATGACATGTTGTGTTAGCCCCAGCTGCCACATTATCACTGTGGGTGTTGATGTCATGTTATTTGTTGCTCTAATTTATCTTGTTCTTTATCAAACTTATCTACTGTTTCATGATCCTCTACACTACAGTCATAATTAAATCTTTAACTTGTGTGTGTGTGTGTGTGTGTGTGTGTGTGTGTGTGTGTGTGTGTGTGTGTGTGTGTGTGTGTGTGTGTGTGTGTGTGTGTGTGTGTGTGTGTGTGTGTGTGTGTGTGTGTGTGTGTGTGTGTGTGTGTGTGTGTGTGTGTGTGTGTGTGTGTGTGTGTGTGTGTGTGTGTGTGTGTGTGTGTGTGTGTGTGTGTGTGTGTGTGTGTGTGTGTGTGTGTGTGTGTGTGTGTGTGTGTGTGTGTGTGTGTGTGTGTGTGTGTGTGTGTGTGTGTGTGTGTGTGTGTGTGTGTGTGTGTGTGTGTGTGTGTGTGTGTGTGTGTGTGTGTGTGTGTGTGTGTGTGTGTGTGTGTGTGTGTGTGTGTGTGTGTGTGTGTGTGTGTGTGTGTGTGTGTGTGTGTGTGTGTGTGTGTGTGTGTGTGTGTGTGTGTGTGTGTGTGTGTGTGTGTGTGTGTGTGTGTGTGTGTGTGTGTGTGTGTGTGTGTGTGTGTGTGTGTGTGTGTGTGTGTGTGTGTGTGTGTGTGTGTGTGTGTGTGTGTGTGTGTGTGTGTGTGTGTGTGTGTGTGTGTGTGTGTGTGTGTGTGTGTGTGTGTGTGTGTGTGTGTGTGTGTGTGTGTGTGTGTGTGTGTGTGTGTGTGTGTGTGTGTGTGTGTGTGTGTGTGTGTGTGTGTGTGTGTGTGTGTGTGTGTGTGTGTGTGTGTGTGTGTGTGTGTGTGTGTGTGTGTGTGTGTGTGTGTGTGTGTGTGTGTGTGTGTGTGTGTGTGTGTGTGTGTGTGTGTGTGTGTGTGTGTGTGTGTGTGTGTGTGTGTGTGTGTGTGTGTGTGTGTGTGTGTGTGTGTGTGTGTGTGTGTGTGTGTGTGTGTGTGTGTGTGTTTTTTAAAGTGTACATAAAGTAAAAGCATAAAATCATTAACACCTAAGCTGAACTGATATTCCAACCCAGGTGTGCCACAAGAAATATGAAGATTAGTTATCACTGAAACTCAACTCTAAATTAACCTAATGTGTATTGTAGCTACATTAGTGTTTCTCAGTCTCGTATATATTATTTATCTTTTAAGTTTATTAATAACTTTTAGCTTCATTTTCAAAGCAGTATTACATTATCAATTATGATAATTTACAAATACTACTGTTATTTTACCCTTCTACTTTTATGTTTCACTTCAGTTAATTAAACTACAGCCTGTATTACTAAAGTAGTTTTGAAGAAGATTACAGGGGGTCCCCAGGTTACGAACGGGTTCCATTCCTGACGACATTCTGAGTCGGATTTGTAAGTCGGAATGCATGCTAGGAGCATACCGTACTTACAGAACAATGTTTAAAATCTCACTATATCACAGCCAAAGTCCTTATATACATCTAAAATCATTTAATTTAAGACAAAAAAAAGAAATGAATTGACAATACAGTAAATGAAAGTAAAAAATGTTATCTGATGAAATATTGTAAATTTCAAGTTTAACACCGTTCATATCGGAGGGTGTTCATAAGTCGGGGACTCCGTGTACTAATACAAGTTTTAATTTTTACATAGTAACAGTGCAGTACTTTATCTTAAGTAATATTTTCATATACTTTCTCCCCCACTGGCTAAAATGGACCCGAATTGAGCTGGACCTGCATTGAGCTGGACCTGCATTGAGCTGGACCTGCAGTGAACTAGACCTGAAGTTAACTGAACCGTAATTACTATCTGGTATTTTACTTAATATTTTCTGGTACTTTTAATATTAGAAAGGTTTTACAGACATTCCTCAGTTTATAAAAGTTTTGTTCCTGAGAAACCTTTAGTAAATCACATCAATTTTTCCATAGACTCCCATTATAAAAGCCAAGATACTTTTCTGCAATGAAAATACTTCCCCCAAATGATGTACTGTTCACAATGATTATAAGCCACTATAGGAGGAGGGAGCTCTACTGATGAATGAGTTATGTTCTGGAGGTTTGTTTGTGAGTCCAACTTTACTCATGTAGATGTACAGTACAGTGGCCTGTAAGTTGACCTTTGAAGCTTCAATTTGTTTTCTTAAAACTAGGAGTCGTCTTATACAACGTCGATCTCTAAATACGTTCCACCACTAGCACCAGATTTTCACTTTGCTGTACCGGCTTTTCTCGGTCACATAATTTCCAGCACTCGTAAATAAGTTTTACCTAACTGTAGCATTTTTCCAGAAGAGTAAATGTTACTGAACTCTGCTTAAGTTTAGTGTTTACACTAGTCACATTATGGGTGTCCCTACACACACCGACACCTTTCAAAATATCTTTCGATGTTAACTGCGATTTTTTACAAACAAACGTTACTGGGGCAATAACTTGTAATATTTGTTGTTAAATTTAAAAAAAATGCAGTTATTGTATATTGATATAATGCTCCAGCATATTTATAAATGTTTACATGAATGTGGTGTAAAGTTGTTAACAAGACAGGCACCTGGGAACAGCTGGCTGGGCTGCAGCAGCTCGGTTAGTGAATGCCACTAGATTTATCGGCAAAATTGCTAAATACAAAAAAATCTGGAGAAATACCATTACATATAAGACGTTATCTAACACGAGAATTGTTAACAATGGCTTTGATAAATGCCAAAAAAACTGTCACAGGTGGCATTAAAGGTAGACGGCGTAAACAACGCTAAACTGGCAACTAGGAGGTCAACATATGAATGACCACTATCTCTGTTGTACAGTAGTCAGTATACTGCACATTATGTTCACACAGACTCAAGTACTAAGTACCATAGAATGTTGATGCACAGCTGGCACAAAATTAATGGTCACTTTCCTATCTGTATACAACTGTTAGTACAGTGTATTTCCATATAGATATTCAATGAACAAATAATTGATGGGTCTTATCCCACAAAGGGTAGGTTAAGACAATATGAAACTCATCTTAATTGTGAAGTTAAACAGATTATAAGGATCGTCAGTTCATTTTCCTTCAGAATTATCAGTGAAAATTATTTTTGGATCACCTCTCTGGCTTATTTAACCTTAAGATTAACCACCCTAACCTTACCTAACTTACTTAGTGTTAAGGTGCTTAATCATCAGGTGATATTAATTGGGGGCTAATCTTCATGTGATCTTTGGTTTCTCTATCAAGCTCCTCAGATCAGCCATCACACCAGACCAGGACCAGGACCTGTACGAGAGAAGGAATACTGTGGTCTACCTTGCAGTATGTTATTGAGTTAGTTACTTTACAGTAGAAGTAAGTGGCCACACCAGTACTTAACAGATTATTTAACTATGTTGAGTTTTGGTGTTGCTGTGTTATTTGAACCTTTCTATAGATTTGTAAACTGACTAATGACTTTAGACGGTGTTTAAGATTAGGTTTCTAACAGTTAAAACTGTGGTTAAGTTGTGTGGAAGTGAGACAATGACTTAGCACTATGCTGAAGGTGTTTAAAAGTGAGAAAGTGACTTATAGTGAAGTTTGTAGAAGTGAGGATATTAGTTTAAAAAATTGTGTATGGGAGAAAAGACTAATTACCTTCATGAGATTTAGAGTATAGTTTAATTTTTATACAAGAAGTTGGAGGTCAATACTGTAGGCGTAATATTTTTTAGGGATTAAAATTCTTCCTTTTCCGTGGATCATTTACAGTGAGAGAAGGCTGGTTGTATATTATGGTTGAGAGAGGAAAGGCTGTACTGTACTAAGTTAATGGATAGGGAAGACTGCCGGACGTATGACTGACGAGTATTACAGTAAAGGAGGGAAGCTGTTGAGTGTATGACTTAAGATAATACAGTACTGAAGTTGTATGAGCAAGAGAAAAGAATGTAAGATTTACTGTACTGAAGCAGATAAAGAGTGAGGGAGGACTGTAGACTAGACTGAAGTTTTATACAAGTGAAGGAAGGATTTGTATTACTTAATCTGCACTGGATTTCTTTCTTTCTTTCGTTTCTTCCACATCCTAGGTTAGGTTTTATTTCATCAGAGCCAACCATAAAGAGTCATCCATTAACTGCAGCTGACCCCACCATAGTTTCATCTATCAACTGCAGCTGACCCCAACATGAAGGACATTTCATCTATCAACTGGAATCAACTGCATCTGAACCCCTTTCCCCTACCCCTTTAGAGTGGGGGTCAGAAGTCTCTTCTGGGAAGTACCTTACTCTCGGAGCATTATAACTCTGGGTTTATGGCTCGGACATTTCTGTATCTGGGATAAGGAGCTTCCTGGAGGAGGCGACTGGCCCTAGGAGCAGCAATTGCTGTATCTAGGTGTCAGCGTTAGGCTGCTTAGGTTCCCTTTTTTTTTAAGGATCTTCAGGCGAGCCTCTTCAAGGATACACTGAATCCTAGGACAAGGAGAGCCGGTCCTGAAGAAGATTGGTACCATTTTTTTTATCCTTTTGAGCTGGGGTCAGGGGGCTTCTTCCTAGAGGTGATTGGCTTTTGGACCAGCATGCTTGTTTGTCCAGTGGTTCCAGGAGTCAGGATCCTCTTGGGGGAGAACCTTGGCCCTCGGACCTAGCGTGAGCCAGGTTCAGGGACTCCCCTTTTTTTCTCATCTTAGGCTCTGTCTAAGGTGTCCTCTCAGTTCATAGTGGCTGGGGCACTGAAAACAGTTTGCCTCACCTTATGAATCTGTGAAGGGCACCTAAGACTTCTTTCACAGGAGCTGTTTTATCTCCTGTCTTAGAAATCCATTGATTTCTAAGATCAGAGATAAAAACACACTAGTGTGAAAGAAGTCTTAGGTGTTCTTCACTGATTCATAAGGTGAGATGAACTGTGTTCAGTGCCCCAGTCACTTGGAACCTCCGGAGGTCACCCTAAGGCCAAGCCTAATTCCAAGATGAGGGACTATGTCCCTCAGCCTTAGGGGGGTGGGGGAACTTGGAGAGGGGGGGAACACCCCCTCCTCCTTGGAGAGGGGGGGAACCACCCCCTCCTCCTTGGAGGGGGGGGAAACCCCCCCTCCTCCTTGGAGGGGGGGGGAACCCCCCCTTCCTCCTTGGAGGGGGGGGGGAACCCCCCCTCCTCGTTGGAGAGGGGGGAAACCCCCCCCCATCTCCTCTGTAATCATAGAATGTACTGGAAATAAAAGTTATATTGAAATTTTCAAGTTTTATTTAAAACCATTTTACAAAATAATTTGTGTAGGGGGGGTGGTCCTCTCCCTTCCAGGGGATGGGGAGGAATCCTCCCCCCCCCTTCCAGGGGGAGGGGAGGAGTCCTCCTCCTCCCACCCCCCTAAGGCTGAGGGACATTGTCCCTCATCTTGGAATTAGGCTTGGCCTTAGGGTGACTTCCCTAGGTTCCTAGTGGCTGGGGCACTGAACACAGTTCATCTCACCTTATGAATCAGTGAAGAACACCTAAGACTTCTTTCACACTAGTGTGTTTTTATCTCTGATCTTAGAAATCAATGGATTTCTAAGACAGGAGATAAAACAGCTCCTGTGGAAGAAGTCTTAGGTGTTCTTCACTGATTCATAAGGTGAGGCAAACTGTTTTCAGTGCCCCAGCCACTGTGAACTGAGAGGACACCTTAGACAGAGCCTAAGATGAGAAAAAAAAGGGGAGTCCCTGAACCTGGCTCACGCCAGGTCCGAGGGCCAAGGTTCTCCCCCAAGAGGATCCTGACTCCTGGAACCACTG